TTTTTAACTTTAAATAGTGGTTACAAAAGCGTATTAAATTTTGTTCAGTTAATAATTTGTCCATTTCATATATATTCACAAATCTTATAAGACTGAATTTATGAACAAGTGAATATACGTGGTTTTACGATCATGTTTTCAATAATAATAAACATTATGTTCCTTAAACAATTGAATGGTAAACATTTTGTAACTCAGGACACAATATGAAATCTTGAGGGGTGATAATGGGCTTACCTTGAATTCCTCCCAAGTGGGATGGGCGGCCGCCACAGCCAAGCCACACAGAAGCAATGCTACGACCTTCATCTGTTTCAGAGAAACCATTCAATGAATATACTGGAGTTATTTTTGCAAGTTAAATTCTCTGTTGCACTTCATTAAATATAACGTTATAATGATATTAGCAATATGCCTTGAGTTTTGAATTTTTAGACTTTCTTAATATGTTGTTCACTACAACATGAAATTCATGATAAACAATTCTCTGGTTTATGTCATTAGGATTTTCACCTAGAGTTAAACTTGACACAATAATAGCTGGAGAGTTTTACCTTGGGTGTATGTAGAGTGCTAGCCGGGTTGAGAGTGTATTGGGAGAGTGTTGGAGGGTATATATATACGAGGAGTCCGTGGGAAGCAGTACACCTGCTGCTGTCTTCCACGGTGCCTGACAGTGCCTCTCTTGTCTGGTATGTGTCCTATACTAGGCCTAGGAAGAGTTAAGTTTTGTTTTAGGTGGAAGTTTTTCCGTATTCAATAAAGTGAATAATACCAAGTTCTACTAATAGTCAATTGCGTCAATATGTGTTCGATAGTTCACGCAGTTACAAAAAGTAAAATCTAAAGAGAAGGATGGGTTGTTTTATAGTATATTTAGCACCAGTTGATAAAGATGTTTATTTTCAATTGTCAACCTTGTCCTTGAGAAAAGCAGTTCTTTATTCTTATCTTTGATGCAAGCATTGGTCCAATCACCCCCTCAGTCGTCTCAAATGTCATCTCTAGGAATTTATTTCCGAATGCAACTGTATTATCATTTGTAACCATATGTAATTTAGTTGCTTTCAAGTTCTGTAATCAAATAAAACCCATCACTTTCCAAGCTCTATGATTAACCCTCAGCCTCCAAATTTCCAAACTCCGTTATCAACCCCCCTCCCCGCTCTCTCTTGAATAAAATTCCCACATACCTCGCACCTCCAAATACTAACACTCGACTATCACGTGCATGCTGAGGTGCGTATCGTCTAGACGAAGTCCACTGAATTCCCCAAAACAATATATGACGATGACATCAGATACCTGAGTGGAGTTACTTCTGGGTGTTGTTAGGAACAGTTACTGCCCCTGGTACACCCCACACCTTTACTGCGGAAAGTGTGAGAAATACACTCTATATCATCTTGGGTGCAGGAAAATGCTTCTCTTTCCCAATGAAGTTGACATGCTGTTTTTCATCATTCCCCATTAAAGATGTTAAAAGAAGTCTTGTTGATTTTGAAGTATTTACAGAATTCTCTAGTTAAACGCAACATTAGGAGTTAAACGACAGATTGCCAATAGTCCGCAATGTAGTTGGTTTAATTTTAAACAATAATTTATTCCTAAATGAAGTCAATGATTTAAAAACAAAAAAACAATCTGCCTGTGCTCAATGAAACTGGCTCTCTTTATAGTTTATACCATATGCTTGAGTTAAATATTGAAATTTAGTGTAATTTTTTTATTAAAAACTATTTATTGTTTCTATAATAAAACAACTATATTATATTCAGTTAGAAAACCTATTGAACTTGGGAAGATTTCCACATTGCATAAGTCTCCTAAAGATAAGAATACTCATTAAGAAATTTCATCCCAAGAATGAGTAACGAAAGGTACAAAAGTAATTCACTGCATTGGTCTATAAACATAAGGGAAGTGTAAACTCTCATATGCCAAAAGGTTTCCGAAAAGTTCGTAGAATGAAACAATAGGCTTCAAGTGCACGTGGAGAGGCAGATTAATAGCCCACGTGTCGGGGGCTGGATAATAGCCCACGTGTCGGGGCTGGGTAATAGCCCACGTGTGGTTACAAGATAAAAGTCCATGTGTGGGCGCATGATAATACCACACGTGTGAGGAATGATTATGGGCCAAGTGCACGGGACAGAAAATTAGCCCACGTGTTGAGGCAATATAATAGCCCACATACATGACAAACAAATTTAGGCGTGGAGGTAAAATAATAGCCTTGGTGCATGGCAGAAAAATAGCCAGGTGTGGAGGCAGGATAATAGAACATGTGAAAAGGTAGGATAATAGCCGCACATGTGGTTGCAGGATATCTCAGAGTGGAAGCCTAATATCATCGAACTCTTCTTTATCTGAAGCTAACTAGACATCGATAAACATAACTCATCATCGGGTGCTCACACGAGAAAACAATTCTTGGGCCTCGTGTACCTGGTGTCCAGCCGCTGGACAGCACTATAATACCTGGCCAAAGGGTAAGGTCAGATACATTAGACATTGTAACACAGTCAACTATCATCAGGAACGGAAGAAGCCAATCTGTATAATTTCTGAATCAAACATTGTTAAAATATAGATGGAAGTTAAGTGGACTGAGGACAGTGTCTGAAACATTACAAATTATAATTTATTGGTGGATATTTGTTCTCAGTTGATTCCTCTCAGCTTTTCCTTTTTAAAAATAAAGCCACGAAATAGACTTGAGATCTCTGGATTGTTTCAAGCGTTGGTTAGACATATATATGCCTGAGGTTGGCCGGATATGAAAACAAACTGCCTTGTATGGACCAATAGTCAAGTTCTTCAGTTTAACATTATGTTGTTATTCGTGTAAATTAAATATAAATTGTTTAAATAATGTAGACTACGCAACCCACAACAGTTATTTAATTCCATTTACTGCTTGGTGAACAAAGGCATGAGGAAAAAGGAACCATTTACGCAACCATTTTATTCCCTATGCAGGATAGTCCCCGAACATGACTCAAGAATGTATATTACTGTATTACTGGACCAATTTACACACACTATTAGTATGTTATGGAAAAAGTAATTCGTGTAGACATGTGATAATAATTATGATCAAAATGTTTATTTCCAGACCTCGGGAACGAATCTTCTGCAGATATATCTAAGGTTCCTCTTTAACTTAATTTCCAAAGTGAATAAGAGCCTTAGAAACATATATAAGACTTCTTCCATATTCAATACCGTATACACACACATATAATAATCGGTGCCACTTTTAATAGGTATCTTTGCTTCAGAGAAGAGAATATAAGGTTCTCACGGGATGCATGTAACTTCCCAATTGTAGATCTTCATATTGTTTACTAATACCACATAATAATTTGGATTCTACATATAATACTCATAATACATTATATAAAAAAGGACCACGAATGTCGGACAGATACAAAGGATGCAGCAAGCAAGTCCCATTCACCGTCACCGACTACTTGTTTCTATATGACTCTACAAGGGGTCAGGAAGGTACTGTGGCTCTTTGGCATATGCTTCAAGCAGTTGCCTTATTATGCATTCTGGTATTTTCTGCTTTATACTTTCCCCTCTGCCTTTGCAGATAATAAAAAAAAAAACTTCAGTGAAACGCGTTGTTTAGTTTTTCATCTTTATTTAATAAAATTCAATATAAATGACTGCACCCTCCTGGGTGTCCCCCATTGGCCAGCACGCAAATGAGGAGATACTGGATTAAAAAATCACTGATCAAAGGAGAATGCTGGACAGGATTGACAAGATCGATGCCCATGATACTCTCTTCCTCCTCACAAGATGCCTATCTCTCCCAAAGTTGACTTTCTGAAGTGTTCTCCATCCTACAACAGCCCTAAATTAAATGCGTATGACACCCTTCTGAGATCCATGCTGGTGAAAGTTCTGAGCCTGCTATTGGACGATCCTCAGTGGGAGCAAGCAAGCCTCCCTGTAAGACTCGGCCGCGTTGGTGTCCGCACAGCCTCCCAAATTGCTCTTCCAGCCTTCCTTTTCTCCTCCCATGCATCGCACGACCTCGTAAGAGATATCCTACCTGAACCCCTGAGTGATTCAGCAGGAAGACACGATCCTGCCTCCACTGAATGCTCAAATCAGTGGGATGCGCTTGCAGCCCCAGCACCCATCATAGAATCAACAAAAAAACATAAAACAGTCCAGCTGGGACCACCCTCTAGTGGAAATATAAGTGATGTCTTGCTTAGCGCCAGTACATCAGACAAGGAGAAAGCCCGCCTCAGAGTAGTGCGTGCCCCCCATGCAGGAGACTTCCTCCTGGCAGTACCCATGTCGGCAAATGGCATGCATCTAGATCCAGAATCCCTTCGTGTAGCAGTGGCCCTCCGCGTTTGAAGTACTATATTCATAGTATATCGACTATTTAAGTATTGTTTGTAAGTACATCTTTGTGTATAGACTAACTGTTCGTACAAAACCTGTGGGTTTCATAGAAGCATTGTTGCTTTTTCATTGTCTGGCGCCATGAAAAATATTTTTTGTCCTGCTATTGCATTGAAATTGTTGGGGCTGACTGTCAAACTCAAAGTTACCCACCACAGTACCTGCCCTCTCAAAAAAAGGTATCTAGAAAGTTCAAGCAAAAATTATTCATATAAAGTTATTAAAAATATATATGCATCTTACAGGAAAATTACACAGTTTTTCTTCTAAGTTTGAGAACATCAGATGATTTTGTTATCAAGCCTCATCAATAAAGCCTCATCTGTGTTTAGAAACTCACCAAACTCTGAACTTAATATATCATTAAGGCTCGTGGACATAAAACACACAACATAAATACTTGATATTCTTCTTTAATGTTTATTCATGAAGAGTAATGGAAACCTTTAAACTCATCTGCTGATTCAAAGATACGCATCATGATGACTGAAAAACTTTTGCGTTCATCTTGTCCACTTCTGAGAATTCATATCTTTTGAATAATGAAGAGGTAAATAAAAAATAAGTATTTTTAATCATTTTAATTTCCTGTAATATTGGCTATCACCTTGTGCGATAACCATACAGATGTATCAAGGTGTGAGTTACATGGTGATAACGTTGGGTCTCTGATGCAGTGAGACCCTCACCTGGCCAGCACTCTCGTAGTCGGGCAGTTAGGAGTCCAACGATTATTACACCAATGGGTAGGAGGCATCAGTGGCAATACCACAGTTGTTGCTCCTGTTACGAGCCATATGAATGTACCCGCTGATGCCCCAGCCGGTGCCCCAGGAGTTCTTGACGAGCCAGTAGGTCTCTCCGCTCTCAGTTCCATAGCCCACTACCAGCACAGCGTGGTCCAGGGTGGTTGACGAGCACCTCGACTCATAGTAGACACCTGCAAGATAAGTACACATATTGATATGCGGAACACCTCTTGGTTTCCTGTTATATGGAAGTGTGCTTTCATGTGAACTGTGGCTGAAAGATAATATACAGTGTATGAGAAGCCCCGAGATTTTTACTTAAAATAAAATATAATATCAAGTAAATTCATGAATTACTTCTTAAAATTTGAAAAGTAATATGTTGAATGGACCCGCATATTGTGTTACTATATAGACGTTTGTGTGTGTGTGATAGTTTGTCTTTACTCACCGCTGTTATAAAGCTGGAATGAAAGTCGTGATGCATCAATGGCAACTGAGATGGGACCAATGTTAGCAGAGGCTTCCAGCAGAGCGGCTTCATCTCCTTCAGGAATGGCCACATAACCAGTTAATGTGGCGACGACGTCGTTGGAATCGAAACGGCAGACATCATCCTGCGTGGACGGGGACGTAAAATTAGTTTGCGCATTGTCAAACAGGACATCTATATAAAGTTCAGAAACTAAAAGTATTTTATTAGTCAACTTATAACCAAGACGTGCGTTGTATATAAGGAAAACTTACAATAGCCTCGTAAGGGTAGGAAGCCTCAGTGACAGAACCATGGGCCTTGATGTACTTGAAGGCCTGGTTCACCCATCCACCGTTGCATCCCTGGTTGAAGTAAATACCGCCGGCGCAGTCGACCAGCTGCTGCTCGGAGAGACTGATCAGCTTGCCGGTCTTAAGGTAGTGCTGACCCTCCAAGGAACCAGTCTGTGGCAAAACGGATAAATATATAATCAAGTAAATTTACATTTTAGGATTGCGAGGAAGATATGTAAACATGAACAAACTTAAATGCCACGAATTGTGTTCCTTATATGATTAAATTCATTCTATATGGAAAATGCAAATAAGTTAATATCGATATAATTTATCCAATTTATCCACATATTGCAAGCCTGAATAATTACTGCAGGCCAAGAACATGCAGGCAATTTATATCTTTGAGAAATTATTTACCGCAGAGAAAGACCAGCATGATCCACATTGTCCCTGGTCCTTGACACCAGTCACGGCTCCCTGGTTACGCCAGTCCACAGTTGCTGCCCTTGGGATCCTTCCTGTGGGAGTGAACACGCTGTCAGGCTCTGGGTGAGACTCCTTTTTGTACCCCTTCATCACAGCGTTGAATTCTTCATTTGTCTGTCAAATAAAAAACTTGTTAGAACTTGTAGTGAAGGAAACTGTTTCATATATCATCAGTTATATATTACATATATATGAATCCAATTGCAAAATTGTCAAATATCAGAAACTAGGAAGAGGCATCACTGACCATGTCACCAAATTGGTTCATTGCCAGGTTGAAGGTAACTTCGCCCCTCTCATACTTCTCGTTGAATTCTTTGACGTACTGAAGGTTATGTTCGAACACGCTCCTGCGGTACTGTTCCTCCTCTGCGTCAACATACTTGCGGCTATGGATGGTCTGTGGAAAACAACAAACTCGTATATCACATCACACATGTTTAATACTTGTTACACTACATAATTGTTTTATACTAACTGCAGGCAGTAATTATTTCATGAACAAATTATTTGTTCATATTCTTTTTTTGTAACAAATAAATCTGAGAATCTCTGCAGTAAATAATGATGATTTAAAATGTATTAAGTATATCACAAATTAATCAGTGACCTAACACTGGTAATATATCAAGTAATTCTTCGTGCAACCCAAAATACACTATAATCTAACTTATATTTCTTAACTTGCTATTGCTAACTTTCCCTTCCTAATATATATTTTCTAGCTTATAATTCATAAACTTTATTTTAACTCTAAAAATCCCTAAATTAAATTTTTGGTCAATAGTTTGGCAAAATTTCATAGTTGGTAAATTTTTTTTAACTTTAAATAGTGGTTAAAAAACGCATTAAATTTTGTTCAGTTAATAATTTGTCCATTTCATATAAATTCACAAATCTTATAAGATTGAATTTATGAACAGGTGAATACACGTGATATTACGATCATGTTTTCTATAATAATAAACATTATGTTCCTTAAACAATCGAATGGTAAACATTTGTCACTCAGGACACAATATGAAATCTTGAGGGGTGATAATGGGCTTACCTTGAATTCCTCCCAAGTGGGATGGGCGGCCGCCACGGCCAAGCCACACAGAAGCAATGCTACGACCTTCATCTGTTTCAGAGAAACCATTCAATGAATATACTGGAGATATTTTTATAAGTTAAATTCTCTGTTGCACTTCATTAAATATAACGTTATAATGATATTAGCAATATGTCTTGAGTTTTGAATTTTTAGACTTTCTTAATTAATATGTTGTTCACTACAAGATGAAATTCATGAAAAACAATTCTTAGGTTTATGTCATTAGGATTTTCACTTAGAGTTGAACTTGACAATAATAGCTGGAGAGTTTTACCTTGGGTGTATGTAGAGTGCTAGCCGGGTTGAGAGTGTATTGGGAGAGTGTTGGAGGGTATATATATACGAGGAGTCCGTGGGAAGCAGTACACCTGCTGCTGCTACTGCTGCTACTGCTGCCTTCCACGGTGCCTGACAGTGCCTCTCTTGTCTCTCCCTCATAATCATGCCAACTAGCTGGGTTATTTCTCAGGCACCTCGTACCCTGATTCTTTTCCACGCTACCTCGAACACTGGGAAATTTGGTATAACACATTTCGTGGAAAAATACAAATTTATGTTTACAACGAGTAGTTACCCATGTGAAGGTAGGAGAGGTAACCTAAATGGTAAAGTTGGGGAGCTCACCTACATGTAATAGTGGGGAGCTCCCCTATAGGTAATATTGAGGAGCTCACCTAAATGTAATAGTGGAGAGCTCCACTATAGGTAATAGTGGGGAGGACTCCTAGATGTAATAGTGGGTGACGTACTCGCGATGTTATAATTGTTTATGTGCAGGCTTCTCTTAGTTATTATTATTGGTGGTGTTGCATTTTCTTCAGCTCGTCCCACTGTTTAGATAGTACTTATACTGACGATGTAGAGCATTGTACATATATTGACGTAATGAACAATTACAAAGTAGAATTTGATACCAATGAGTTTTGACAAACTGGAGAAGTTTTGTGTTGGTATTAAACTTTACCTAAGCACATTTAACCTTCCTAAACATAATACATCCTATCTGAGGCCTAATATATTACAAATTGCCTTTACTATGCCTAGGAATATTTAAGTTTGGTTATAGCTAAAAAATTTCCTCGTTCAATAAAGTAAGTAATATCAAGTTCTACTAATAGTCATTTACGTCAATATGTGTACGATAGTTCACACAGGATATTATTACAAAAAGTAATATAAAAGAAGAAGGACGGGTTGTTTTTTTCGTATATTTAGCACCAGTTGATAAAGATGTATATTTTCTATTATTAATCTTGTCCTTGAGACGAGCAGTTCTTAGTTCATATCGCTGATACAAGCACTGAGCCTATCACCTCTCAGTCGTCTCATGTGTCCTCTCTTCTACTAACTTATTTCCGAATGCAACTGTAATATCATTTGTAACAATATGTAATTTAGTTGAATACGAGTTCTGTAATCAACTAAAACCCATCACTTTCCAAGCTCTATGATTAACCCTCAGCCTCCACATTTCCAAACACCGTTATCCATCTCCCCCCCTCCTTCTCTTGCCCCAAATCCCCACATACCTCGCATATCCAAATACTAACACTCGACTATCACGTGCATGCTGAGGTACGTATCGTCTAGACGAAGTCCACTGAATTCCCCCAATCAATATATGACGATGACATCAGATACCTGAGTGGAGTTACTTCTGGGTGTTGTTAGGGAGAGTTTCTGCCCCAGTACACCCCACACCTTTACTGCGGAAAGTGTGAGAAATACACTCTATATCCTCTTGGGTTCAGGAAAATGATCCTCAACCCCCATCACGTTGACATGCTGTGTTTCATCATACCCCATTAAAGGTGCTAAAAGAAGTCCCTCTTGATTTTGAAGTATTTGCAGAATTCTCTAGTTAAATGCAACATTAGGAGTTAAACGACAGATTACTAATAGTCCGCAATATGAAGTCAATGATTTAAAAACAAAAAAACTATCTGCCTGTGCTCAATGAAACTGGATCTCTTTATAGATTATACCATATGCTTGAGTTAAATATTGAAATTTAGTGTATTTTTTTTATTAAAAACTGTTTATAGTTTGTGCAATAAAACAACTATATTATATTCAGTCAGAAAATCTATTGAACTTGGGAAGATTTACACATTGCATTAAAGTCTCCTAAACGTAAGTATACGCATTAAGAACATTCATCCCAAGAGTGAGTAACGAGAAGTACAAAAGTAATTCATTGCATTGGTCTATAAACAGAAAGGAAGTGTAAACTCTCATATGCCAAAAGGTTTCCGAAAAGTTCGTAGAATGAAACAATAGGCTTCAAGTGCACGAGGAGAGGCTGATTAATAGCCCACGTGTCGGGGCTGGATAATAGTCCACGTGTCGGGGCTGGATAAAAGCCTATGTGTGGGCGCATGATAATATCACACGTATGAGGAACGATGATGGGCCAAGTGCAGGGATAGAAAAATAGCCCACGTGTTTGGGCAGCATAATAGCTCACGTACATGACAAAACAAAATATTCTAGGCAGGAGGCAAAAGACAGAATACTATGCCTAGGTGCATAGCAGAAAAATAGCCAGGTATGGAGGCAGGATAATAAACCGTTTGGAAAAGTAGGATAATAGCCACACATGTGAGGGCAGGATATATCTCAGACTGGAAGCCTAATATCATCGAACTCTCCTGTTAATACAATAAACTATTTTAATGTGATATGGGAAGCCTGTAGTCATCTGAGTAGATGGTTTTCCTTAATTGTATTAATACTAATAACTTAATTTACTTTGTCTGAAGCTAACTAAAGATCGATAAACATAACTCATCATCGGGTGCTCACACGAGAAAACAATTCTTGGGCCTCGTGTACCTGGTGTCCAGCCGCTGGACAGCACTATAATACCTGGCCAAAGGGTAAGGTCCGATACATTAGACATTGTAACACAGTCAACTATCATAAGGAACTGAATCAAACATTGTGTTAAAATATAGATGGAAGTTAAGTGGACTGAGGACAGTGTCTGAAACATTACAAATTATAATTTATTGGATCTCAGTTGATTCCTTCCAGCTTTTCCTTGTTAAAAACAAAGCCGCGAAACAGTACGAAATAGACTTGAGATCTCTGGATTGTTTCAAGTGTTGGTTAGACATATATATATATATATGCCTGATTTTGGCCGGATATGAAAACAAACTGCCTTGTATGGACCAATAGTCAAGTTCTTCAGTTTAATATTATGTTGTTGTTCGTTTAGATACAATATTAATTTTTTAACTAATGTAGACTATGAAACCCACAACAGTTATTTAACTCCATTTACTGCTTGGCGAACAAAGGCACGAGGAAAAAGGAACCATTTACGCAACCATTTCATTCCCTATGCAGGATAGTCCCCGAACATGACTCAACGTATATCACTCTATTACTGGACCAATTTACACACACTATTAGTATGTTATGGAAAAGTATTTCGTGTAGACATGTGATAATAATTATGATCAAAATGTTTATTTCAAGAACTCGGGTACGAATCTATTGCAGATATATCTAAGGTTCCTCTTTAACTTAATTTCCAAAGTGAATAAGAGCCTTAGAAACATATACAAGACTTCTTCCAAATTCAATAACGTATACATATATATATTAATCGGTGCCACTTTTAATAAGTATCTTTGCTTCAGAGAAGAGAATATAAGGTTCTCAGGGGATGCATTTAACTTCCCATTTGTAGATCTTCATATTGTTTACTAATAGATTTATATTAATACCGCATTCAAGATTTAATACTGATAATAGATTATATAAAAAAAGGACCACGAATGTCGGACAGATACAAAGGATGCAGCAAGCAAGTCCCATTCACCATCACCGACTACTTGTTTCTATATGACTCTACAAGGGATCAGGAAGGTACTGTGGCTCTTTGGAATATGCTTCAAACAGTTGCCTTATTACGCATTCTGGTATTTTCTGCTTTATAATTTCCCCTGTGCCTTTGCAGATAATAAAAACAAGCTTCAGTGAAACGCGTTGTTTACTTTGTTAACTTTATTTAATAATATACAATATGAATGACTGCACCCTCCTGGGTGCCCCCATTGGCTCACACGCAATCGAGGAGATCCGGGATTCAAAAATCACTGATCCAAGGAAAATGCTGGATAGGACTGACAGGATCGATGCCCATGATGCTCTCTTCCTCCTCACAAGATGCCTATCTCTCCCTAAGTTGACTTACTTTCTGAGGTGTTCTTCATCCTACAATAGCCCTAAATTAAATGTGTATGACACCCTTCTGAGGTCCATGCTGGTGAAAGTCCTGAACCTGCCATTGGACGACTCTGAGTGAGAGCAAGCAAGTCTCCCTGTAAGACACGGCGGCCTTGGTCTCCGCACAGCCTCCCAGATTGCTCTACCAGCCTTCCTTTCCTCCCATGCATCGCACGACCTCGTAAGAGATGTCCTTCCTGAATCCCTGAGTGATTCAACAGGAATACATGATCCTACTTTCACTGAATGTTCAAATCAGTGGGATGCGCTTGCAGTCCCAGCACCCATCAGTCAACCAACAGTCCATCTGGGACCACCCATTACTAGAAATATAGCTGATGCCATGCTCACCGCGACAACATCAGACAAGGAGAAAGTCCGCCCTCAGTTCTTGCCTCCAAATGCAGGAGACTTCCTCCTGGCAGTACCCATATTGGCAATGGGCACGCGTCTAGATCCAGAATCCCTTCGTGTAGCAGTGGCCCTCCGTCTTTGAAATACTATTTTCATAGTATATCGACTATTTAAGTATTGTTTGTTAGTATTGTTGTTTTTTGTTCAGCTCGTCCCACAGTTTAGATAGTACTTATACTGACGATGTAGATCATTGTACATATATTGACGTAATGAACAATTACCAAGTAGAATTTGATACTACTGAATTTTGACAAACTGGAAAAAGTTTTGTATTCTTATTAAACTTAATCTAAGCTAACTACAATAAAGTGAGTAATACCAAGTTCTACTAAGTCAATTGCGTCAATATTTGGTACGATAGTTCACACAGTTACAAAAAGTAAAATCTAAAGAAAAGGATGGGTTGTTTTATCGTATATTTAGCACCAGTTGATAAGGATGTTTATTTTCAATTATTAATGTTGTCCTTGAGAAGAGCAGTTCTTAGTTCATATCTCTGTTGCAAGCGCTAGGCTTATCACCCCTCAGTCGTCTCAAATGTCCTCTCTTCTAGTAACTTATTTCCGAATGAAACTGTATTATCATTTGTAACCATATGTAATTTAGTTGATTATAAGTTCTGTAATCAACTATAACCCATCACTTTCCAAACTCTATGATGACCCCTCAATCTCCAAATTTCCGAATTCCGTTATCCATCCTCCCC